GTCAGCCTGGTCTACAGAGTGAATTCTAGGACAGAGAACCCCTGTCTCAGAAAACTACATCAATAGATAATAGATAGATAGATAGATAGATAGATAGATAGATAGATAGATACATACATACATACATACATACATACATACATACATACAAATAAAATAAGAAGAACAAAAGGAAGAAGGCCAGCTGACTGGCATGAGCGGTACCTTGGACCCTCCTTTTGAGGGACTAGCAGGTCATCGTACAGCTGCGACTGGTGGAATTGTGTCATCCTGTGCTGACATCAGTGCTGCTGTGTGTTAGGATGTGACAGATTATGAGTCGGTTTCTTTGTTCTGGGGTCCCCAGGCTGCCACTGGGTGCTCTCAGCACACAAAAATAGAGAGTATAAGTTCTGGTAATGAGAGAAGGAAGAGAAGAGAACCTCCTACCCCCAGACTGGGGACAGGATGTCTCCTCTTAGCCATCATCCCTTTTGTGCACGAATATACTCACACTCATGCACACACATAAATATAATAACAATAATAATAAGATGATGATGATAACTATTGTTTTGGTTTTTCGAGACAGGGTTTCTCTGTGTAGCCCTGGCTGTTCTGGAACTCACTTTATAGACCAGGCTGGCCTCGAACTCAGAGATCTGCCTGCTTCTGCCTCCCAAGTGCTGGGATTAAAGGCTTGTGCCACCACTGCCCAGATAATACAATCTTTTAAAAGACAAAGTGGATGACATTTGAGGAATGGCAGCCCAGGGATCCTAAGCTGATATGCAGCTGAAGACGACCTCTTGTCTCAATCTGTCAAGTGTTAGCAATGCAGGTGTGCATCGCCATGAGTTCTGGGGCTCAAACCCAGGCCCCCATGAATGCTACCCAGGCACTGGTCCACCTGAGCTCCGTCCCTGGCCCCTCAAGAGAACATTTCTCGTCTTTGTAAACAAGACAAGCGGCCAGATCTGGAGAAGCACTTGGTGAGGTCAAACATGATTTAAACAGCAAATCTAAACTTTGGGCGCTCAGGGCCAAAGGCAAATGTTAGGCTGGGTCTCAGAAAGCAGACCGAGCCAAAAAACAACAAATGGCCATCACTAATGGAATCAGACCATCACTTCTAAGTGCTAATGTGCCCCAGACAGACAGCTTTGTAAGAAATCCTGGAGTGTGCAGCTTATGTGTTCAGGGGATACATGTATAAGAATGGTAGTTCTTCCCTGTGAAGAACCAATAATATAAGTGTGTGTGCATGTGTGTGTGTGTGTATGTACTTGTATGCATGTATTTATATCTGGCCAGAAGATGACATCTGGTATCACCACACCCTAACCTGCTCCCAGTCCAGGATAGGACAACCCAACCATTTTCTCCCGCTCTGGACATCAGAACTCCTGTCCTTGAACCAGCTGTCCTTCAGTTTTGTCAGTCTTCTAGATTTGGAATGATTCATACCACAACCCGCCCTGGTTACCAGCTTTCAGACAGCACATGTGCCTGTCCTAAGCTTCCATAATCTCGAGTTTAAATTTCCTAAGAAATTTGGGGCTGGGATGAATCCTGGGGTCAAATCCTGTCCCCAGCACCCACATAAAAAAGTGGGTGTGGCAGCATATGCCTGTAAGTCTAGCCCTGAGAAGGTGGCCTCAGGGAGACCCTGGAGCTCACTGGCTCACCAGTATGAGCTGCAGGTCCAGTGAGGGGCTGAAGGCGACTCAGGACATCACTGGAATCCACAAACCTCATCTTTTGTGCGGGATTACAGGGATGCTTGCTCCGTCATGACAGACTCTTCACACGGATTATGGGGATCTGAACTCAGGTCCTCAGGCTTGTGTGGCAGGCACTTTCCTGACTGAGCCCTATCCCCAGTACATTCTTGAAATTTATTACATTTTATTTATTTATGTTGTGTGTGTGCATGTGTGTGCATACGAGGGCACACAGGTTCTCTCTCCGCCCACCCATGGGTCCCAGGAATCAATCTCAGGTTGTCTGTCTAGGCAGCAGATTGTCTGTCTGTCGGGTGCCTTTACCCTCTTAACAGTCTCACTTGGGCCCCACCTACAAGTCATTTTTTATAAACTGCTTCCTTAGAAACCACTACGACTTTTCGTCCCCCACCCCCACCCCCTGCAGCCCTTAACTATACATGGCATCTCGTTCTTCTGCCTGGTTGTTGCTTTGGTTTATTCTGGGAGGTGAGTTTTTAAGAAGATAAGGACAGATTTTCCACCAAAGTAACAATCCATTAGCATCCCACCGAACCGTGCCCTCACGGATTCTGAAATCCCCCTTAACCGCTAGATCTGTGTGTTCCTCAGAGAGCCTGGGAAAATGTCTCATTTCAGTTTTTCTTCCTCATTCTGGCACTAAGTCAGTTTTTTGGCTGTAGACGGAATCTATTTTGAGTTGCCTTTGCGTGTGTGTGTGTGTGTGTGTGTGTGTGTGTGTGTTGCTTCATATGTGTGGGTCTCCTGTGGCCTTTACATCTGAGACTCTTTTCTCCCTCCCAGATTCACAAAGATGGAGACAGCCAAGCAGGGAGAGCTTTTCTCCGGCACAGATGGCCATTGCAGGGAGAGGAGGATGCTGTGGGCCCTTCCACTTGAGCTTGGAGAAGGAAGCCAATTGGTCAGCCAGGGTGTGACAGCCACTCCAGAGGCTGATGTAGGAGGATAGAAAATTTGAAGCTAACCTGGTCTACTTATTGAGTTTCAGGATAGCCTGAGCTACATAGCAAGAGATCCCTGTTTGCTACTGCTGCTGCTATTGTTTGAATTAAAGTCATCCTTACCTACTGAGCAAGGTGAAGGCCAGCATGAAACCCTGTCTCAAATAAACAATATTGTTGATTTGTCGGTGCTGATCACCACTGCGTGCCACAGCCTTTCTCTCAGGCCTGAGTGAAGCCCATCTAACGTGCATTTTAATTTTATTTTTAATAGTCTAGATCCACAGAGTTCCCTTTCCTGAGGAGAGGCTCTCAGCAGCACTTTGACTTTCTGTAGGTTTCAGCTCCCTGTGGTCAAGCCCATTCCAAAAACGATGAAATAGAAAGTTCCAGAACCCCTAAGATGGAAGGGGAGAAACGTCTCCCCGAGTTGTCTCCGACCTCCACATGTGCACTGTAGCCTGTGTAACCCTACGCATGTACACATGCATATAAAGTGAGTAAATAAAAACATGTAATCCGTTGGGACTGGAGACATGGCTCATCGGTTAAGAGCACTGGCTGTTCTAGAGTATCCAAGAGCAATTCCCAGCACCCACACAGATAGTTCACAACTGTCTGTAACCCAGTTCCCGGGCTTCCAGCACCCTCACACAGACATACATGCAGGCAAAACATCAGTGCACATAAAAAGAAATAATTTTTTTTTTTAAATTTAAAGTGGGGGGCTGGAGAGATAGCTTAAGCAGTTAAGAGAACTGACTGTTCTTCTGAGTTCAATTCTCAGCAACCACATGGTGGCTCATAACCATTTGTAATGGGATCTGATGTCCCCTTCTGGTGTGTCTGTAGACAGACAGCTACAGTGTATTCACATACATAAAATAAATAAATAAATAATTCTTTTTTTTAAAAAAAATTAAAGTGTAATACATTTTTAAAAGTTACATTGGTAGTTTAAGGGTTTGTTTTGGGAGGCTGTTTTCTTTTTTTTTAATTTATTTATTTTTATTTTATGTGCCTTGGTGTTTTGCCTGCATGTGTGTCTGTGTGGGGGTGTTGGATACCCTGGAACTAGAGTTACAGAGAGTTGTGAGCTGCCAGGTGGTTGCTGGGAATTGAACCCAGGTCCTCTGGAAAAGCAGTCAGTACCCCTAACTACTAAGCCATCTCTCCAGTTCCGTTTTCTATTTTTAGTTAGCACTTTTTAATTTTGTTGAGAATTTCATTAACAAGAAACATGCCGATGGCACTTCTGTCCCCCACTCTTCTCCCTTCTTAGGCTGGGGTGTGGTTCAGTGGTAGAGCCTCTGCCTAGAATCCCCCAGTGAGGGGCTGGGGTGTGGCTCAGTGGTAGAGCACCTGCCTAGAATCCCCCAGTG